AACAAAGTCCCCCCACCTCCGCAGCAGGGCCAGAGCGACGCGGCCGAAAAATTGCAGCTTGTCCGGATTCCTTCTGTTTGAACGCCTTCCACGTTGTCCTGTTTACAAGTTAACCTGAGTTGGGGTATCTGTCACGGGTCTTCCTGTTTTTGTATTTAAATTAAACAAACAGCAGCAAGCTGTCCCCAGTAGTTCTGCCGCCCTAGTTAAGTCTTCATGTGTACAGTGCGGGCCGTCTGGCGAGCACTCTAGTAAGTTATCAACTCACCGCTGTGAACCTGCCAATCCGCTGTAACAACTCTGCTTTCAAACAAAACCAAACAAAACTTAAAAAAAAAAAAAAGTGTTTGTGATCCAGCATTCTTGTCATCCTATGTGCATGCAGTAAGATCGGTTGGATATTAAACCATCAATAAAGTTTCACAAGATTTGAAAACCAAGTTTCTGTAGCTTCGATATCTAAGGCAGATGACCGTTACCTTGAAAGGACAGAAAGGGGGGGGGAAACTGCTTAGCAGCCCAAAGCCTAGCAAATGGTCTTCTCGGCAGACTTCCTTGGGTGGGGGAGGGGAGGGGCAGGGGTGTCCTATGGCATCACTGAGACTTTCTCATTCCCCCACCCAGGAAACAATGTGATGACCGTGGGTGCCCGGGTGATGTTGTTAAAGGCATCGATTTATTAAAATGCTCCGGCATCCTACCCTGGAGGGGAGAGAGATAGAAAGAACAGGGGGGCTAAGGGAGACTCAACAGATTTCTCCCAATTGCCTCAAATTTCACAATCCAGAATTTGCATTGTATTTGGAATCACAAACATAGAATTCTTACTGTGTTGGTTAAAGTAAAATTAATTTGCAGTTTTGATTTTCACCGATGAGCTGTACTTTTCCCCCATGATTGTATGTAGTTTTAATAAAAATCATTTAGAGCAAGTGGGAGCCAACTGATGTTGCAGAATCTTTTGTCAGGCACTCCTCCAAGAGGCCAACAAGTCATTTTAAAATGTATGTCAGAGATGTAAACAGACATTTTGGATTTTTTTAAACAGTATTTATTTGGAATGTTTTCATTTATCTAAATAACTATTGCTATTATGAATTATGAAAAAAAAAGATTAATATCATGTGTGGCATATAGTGACTTCTTAACACACACATCACGCAATCTGCAAACCCAGAAAATGTGTATATCTGTCTTTAGAAATTAGTGTTTATATCACTTACAGTGGTTTGTGAATAAAGAAAACTGGTTTGTAATATCAAAAAAATAAAAGCTTAGTCTGAAAAGGTACATGTGAGTTGGTGTTCTGAGTCCTTTGGCTTCTGCGTGTTTCTTTCCTTCAAGGGCATTCCTTACCCACATATGCGGCAGCTATTGCGTCCACCAGGGGCGTGGCATGGGCGTGGGGCTGCCATAGCCACTGGTGGCACCTCCTGCAGGTGCCTTGGCTGTGTGGCACACGGGGCTCTTCCCCAGCGTGGACATGTCAGTCTTTGGATTAAAACGAAACAACAAGAACAAACTGCATTTCAATGAAACACCTGTTGTAGTTATTAATACAACTTGGGGGTGGGGAGAGGCTTGTGTGATGATGAAAAAAACAAAAAGCGCTCGGTTGGCCTTTATGGAGCGCTTACTATGGGCCACGAATCCAGCTTAGGCTCTTGTGTTCCTTATTTCATTTAATGATTTAATACTTCTATCAGGGTGGAATTATCTACCCTATTTAGTTATCTTAATAATATCTTACTCCTATCTCATTCAATTATCTTAATGCTCCTATCAAGTCGGTAACACATAGAAAGGTTTTCAATATGTGAGGTCTAGAAGCAGATGCTGGGGGTATGAATCCCGATTCTGTCACTTGCTAGCTGCAACCAGGGCAGGTTAAACCAAAGTTCTGTGTCTCCGTTTCCTCACCCGTAACTCAGGGTGGTAGGAACACCTGCCTCTTAATATTGCCGTGTGGAATAAATGAAATAATCTGTGTGTCGGGCTTGCAGCCGTACTTCATAAGCTGTAAGCTATTATTATTTACAGTGAGGAAACCGAGGCACAGAGAGGTCAGTTGATCTGAGATCATGCATCAAGCAAGTGGCAGGGCCAGGATTCCGAAACCGGCATACTCATCCGATGGGGGATATTTTCTCCTGGCCCCATGAGAACTTTCAGCTTTCAACTTTAGAAACGAGAGGCCTTTCCCTGAGTGCCACGCACAGTTGCACAACACAGGTTGTCTTAAAAACAATTATTACACCACTTCAGTTATATTTCATGGTGCTTTCTCTGTAAAGTCCTTGTAGCACAGGGAACTGTGAGGGTTCTAGTCAACTTCCATTGCCCTGTGTCAATTGATCCCTGAAGGTGGTATTGGCCTCATTTTATAGATGAAGACAATAAGAAGACATAGGTCATATGATTTGCCTAAAGTCATTTCTAGCAACTGTTGGAAGCAAGGTCCCATGAGGATCTGTCTGAGCCCGGAGCTTATGCCTTCTTCCCAAAATTCTGCTCCATCATTTATGATGATGGTGATGATGGTGGTGGGGGCGTGTTAAACCTGGGCTTCTAGTACTCTCCTTGCAAAATATGTGAGGCTGTATTAATTAAAACAAAGAAGTCACTAGCTTTATCCTGGCATATGGCAAGGAGGAAGGTAATTATCTCCTAAAATGCTGGTTTATAATTGAGTCTCTACCCTGTCCAAATGCGAGGATGTAAGTGTAGATTTACAAAGCAGTAATTTACCTTAGAATCTCCAAAACCAGGCCCTTCTCTAAAATGAAGGTAAGCATATAAATGTCATGTGAAGTGTCAAGTAAATTAAAATGATGGCAGAAGTGAAAGGGAGTTTTAAAGGAGTCCACCAGCGGATGCAAATGCATGTCACCTGCAGTGTGAGTAGAGGTGAGCAAATAAACCCAAAGGAAGTCCATATGTGAGGCACATGCTTTGTGTATAAATAGAAGCTGTTATTTGTTTTCTCATGGACAATGCCCAGAAGGTAGAGCTTTATCCCACCTGTAATTTTTTTAAAACAATATTTTAATTAAACAGCAAAACCTTCACCATGTTAAAAAAAAATTAATA